CTGGCGGGTGCCCAGGAGGTGACCCAAGTGCCACCGCCACCCGTGATGGGGACGTGTCCCACCTCCGCCGGCCGGAGGGTGACTTCCCTCTGGATTTGGATCTGGGCTTTTCTCACCGGCAGCTGGAAGCGGTGTTGTGGCCGTACAAAATGTACTTGCAACTCAAAACAACTTAAATATAGCTTGTGCGGTCAACTGCTGTGGCCGTCTTCCCACAGGAGACCTTTACCTGCGCTTGATGTGGCGGGTTTTTTTTTTAGTGCCCATGTAGTTGCTGGTAGTCACATGAGTTATCCAGATAGTTGATAACACACTCAGCTGCTCTTTTCCTAACCCGGTGGGTTTCTGTAGCTGTAAATAAAAATACACGCCTTAACAAATGGGTGACTTTTCCAGTAAGTACACATATGGTTTACTGGTATTTTCTGAAAGGTGTAATCGATACGCAATTAACGCTTTAAGGCCGGTATGATGAGCAATGTATTGTTTTTATGGTTGTGTCTGGGGAGTTTGGAAGCGATCGTGCAACTGTTCTTAGCGAGCGTTTGTCGGAGCGCAGGACAAAGTAGGTGAGAGAAGGAAGGGTTTGTATTTTTCTGCTACCTCTGTAATGCTGAAGTAAAACACAGCTGGAAAGCTGCTTAGCAGTGCTTGAGAGAGCAGCAGATGTAAAGAATCTCTGCAGCAAAATACCACTTTATGCTAATTTAAATGCAAGAGCGTAGGGGAAATCTGTGTTTATGAAATGATCGAATAAGAGAAGGGGACAGACGCATATAGAAAATGTTGCAAATGTGTGTAAAGTGGAGAATACTAGTCAAGAGCAGCTGCTTCGTTGCAACGTGGCATAGGGTTTATGTGAAAGATTCAACAGTTTAAGAATTCCAGTTGGAAGCTGCAGAATTTCTGTAATCTCTTGGCAAGAAGTTCAGTTAATGAAATCGGAGCGGCACTGTAAAAATTAACCTTCTTTTTCTGTTTTGCCAGTGGCGGCACCTGACTTGCTGGATCCCAAATCGGCCACTCAGAACTCCAAACCGAGATTATCATTTTCCACCAAGCCTACAGTGCTCTCTTCACGGGAGGAAAGTGATTCAGCTATTAATGTTATGAAATGGAAGACAGTCTCAACAATTTTTCTGGTGGTAGTCGTGTACTTAATAATTGGAGCAACAGTATTTAAAGCCCTGGAGCAGCCTCATGAGACCTCCCAGAAAACCACCATTGTGATTCAGAAGCAGACGTTTGTATCTCAGCATTCCTGTGTGAATGCAACAGAGCTTGATGAACTGATTCAGGTAATCCATACCAAACCCTTGCCACCATGCCTTAGAGGAACAAATTACATATGGTAGCACTGCTGTGATAAAGGGGAAAAACTTCATTAGCAAGGCTAATGGCTAATAGCAATGAGCAATGGCTGAGCCATGTAACAAGTGTTAAGACCAAAAGTTGAGCAACAGCATTTTTGTGCAAAGCCACACGGTTGAAAAGCTATTGCTGTTTTTAGGTCCAGTACCCTTGGTACACAGCCTTTTCACTGAAACCTCCCATTATGCTAATGAAATGATTATTCGTCAGCAATATATACAATTAATAGTTCACAAAGGAATTGATATATTGATCGTGCCTTACCAGGTCTGTCAATATTTGAGATGCCTAATTCTGAGGAAGAAAATACACCGTCCATTGCCTTAAGGGACTTCTAATTTACTGTGATTGTATCAAGCTAGCTTTCCTTCCAGCTGTATGTTTCTTTTCATTGATTCTGTTTTAAGCAGAGGAAAGTACCACGGACTTGCTATTTTGATCTTAAATCTCAATTTTCTCCGCTTTTAAAGGCGCATCCACAACTGATGTACATTGGTGTGTTCCTACTAACATGACTTTACCCTTGCAGGTCACCTGCCTCAGAAGCACGGGAAATATTTATTTGCCCTAGCACAGAACTAGATCCAGAGCCTTAAGAGGCCCTCTCCAACTTAAATCCCATGTTCCCATGTTCTTACGAATAGCCAGTGGCACTGCAGGCAACAGCAAGGGGCTGCCAAGTAATGTCAATTCTGGGGATGAGACCATGAAACGGGAGGCTGGAGTGAACAGCCAAGAGCTGGCAAGGATTGACCCCTTCATTAACAGTAGCCATGGGCCTGTCTGGGTCTGCAGAGGTGGGACACTGGAGAGCAGGAGCATGCCAGTCGCATGGGCAGCAAAGCTTCTGGAGGTGGTTTTTGACAGCAGGTCTGGCTGGGAGTTCAGAAGTTGATTTTGCCTCTCTAGAGACCAATCTGCCTTGAGCATCAGCGTGGACACCTGTTTTTTTGCAGTTTTAAATTCAGAGCTCTGATGAACCGAGTTATTTTTATGGCACACTACTTCTGAATTTTAAAGGCAAGCTGTGAAAATGTCTTGTATTTTGTGATTTCTCCCCTGCCTTTTTGCTTGAAATGTGTTCCAAAGCTGCCACCCTTTCAAGGACTGCCAGGCAGCTCCTACCTCCATGTGTCCTGACTCGGCATGCCCGAGGAGGTGTTCTCAATGTGAATTTTGATGCTGTGTAATAACTGTGTTTCAGTGGTTTTACCAGCAGAATGTGAGAGAATCTTTCAGAGAAATATACACGCACATTTTGATTAAAACATTCTCTTGCAGGTAGTATAAATATCCCCATATGAGATTTTTAGGTCAGATCCTGTACTTGTGAAGATAAAAATAGAAATTTTTTCAGCAATATTACCTTGCATCATGTATGAGATGGTCCTTAAGGCAAAAACTGTTGAAATTTGCTCTGGAGTACTTAGATACTTTAGCATTTATGATTCACTACCCAGAAGCACAGATTGGTAATAAAAAAACACTTCATCAGCATTCAGCGCCCATTTGATGTTCTGTATAAAATAAAGGACAGTTTCAGTACAATTACCAGAGCACAGATACCCGTATCAGCATTAGCTCCCACCTTCGCTGGTGATCTTGGCATGACCAGAAAGACACAGGCTTGTGAAGCGTGGGTCACACAGCCTCCCACAGCACGTGGATGAGGGATGGTTGTGGGAAGAGTTTGCTCTGCTTGTTGTTGGGGTAAACGGAAAACTTAATTTCTCCTTGTTCCCTTCTGCTTCTCTGTGAAGAAGACCACCACGACGTGGAGGTAGGAACGTGCTGTTACGCTCCTTGTATAGGAGGAGAGCTGAGGCATAGGGAGCCTGGTCCTACAAGCGCCTGTGGGTGCCTTTCTTTACGCAGAATAAGCGATAACAAATTACAACACGTTGCTTAAGGGTCAGGAATTAAGTGACTTGCCCAAAGTAAAATAGGAAATCAGTAGTAAAGCGGAGTCTCAAATCCATTTTTCCAAGTCTAGGCTGCTACCCTAACCATGGGGTCCTATTTCTTCCCTACTTACTGCTTTGTCACAGAAGCTAAATTACTGGGATACATTTTGTCTCTCTGGGTTTATGTCTATAATACAGTGTTTCTTCAGTTTTTGTTGTATGTCTGTATGAATAAAAATAAATAGTGCATGTGAGGAAAAAGTAAATGATATTTAAGAATTCACTGAAAGCTATAAAACTGAAAATTAATATGTACTAGTGTGGTAGGAAGCTGGAATGGTTAGTGTGTGTGAAGAAAATTACAGAGCTTTAAGACTGTAATGTCTTCTTTAATCAAGTATTTACCTTGAGTCAAACTGTGATGACATTCATTATAAACTTTTCCTTTTGAACTTAGTGCTCTGGGATTCCAGAAACTGGTTTGGCTCTGGTTCGTGCTAGGCATTGCTCAAGGTGCTTATCATGCTCGGCTTCTTCAGTCTCCACAACTTCTGAGCTGCCATTTAACCCTTACTCTGAAGCAGGCTTGACTATTCCAAGCCCGCTAACCGCCAGTACAATGTGCAGCGCCTTAGTCAGGTGAACAAATTAGGGAGACTGGTTTGAGAGCACAAATTCGGCTAAAAAAACTGGCACAAGGGGAATGAAAGGCCAGTTGGCTAGCACCCAGGGGCCATCTATTTTCCATCACCTTTGCTAAAATCTTCCCTTTGCCACAGAGCTGATTACAACACGGAGTGGTGTGCTTCTGTAAATGCACACAGGAGAGGGAATTTTCCCTTCCCGTCTTCTCCATCCTTATTTTATCTCACCAATCACCAAAAACCTTCCTGGCATAACAGTATATACTGTTGCCAGCTTCTCAGCGCACACAGCTTTATTCCCTGGGTTTCAAAGTCCTGAAACTATGTATTTTCACATTGATTGTGTGGCTCCTCTAGGTGTACTCAGTGAGAATTATACTTTTATAGACTTTATGTATTTTGTATACACGTGAAACACGGGGCAATGCAGAGCTGCTATGCAGCATCGAAAATGTGCAAAGTTAATGAAATGGAGTGCCCTGATGATGACAGCCAAGTAGCCTCAGCTGTCTCAAAAAAATGACCTGGGTTTTCCCTAACTTTTCAGCCCAGTCCAGCGGCATTGTTCCTGGGTTGACAAAGAGGTGGTCTTCACGACCTTCTCCGTCTCTGACTTCCATGGTCCAGTGCTGCAAATCTCTTTCAGTCTAAACCACTTCAGTTACTTGTTGCTTCCCTGTAATAAAATATACCTGCAATGAACAACAGCAATGTATGATGCATCAGATCATGTACATCATGATACTTCCAGATACATCATTTTTTTGGATACTTTGTGAACACTTCTATTTAGTACCATACTTAAAATGTGCAAAAAGTCACGCAGAGCATATCTGTACACCCAAGAGGCCATTTTTCCCAGGCAATTTCAACTCCTTTTACTGTAGCCTGAAGCCGGTCTCACCAACAATATGAAGTGGATCACTGCATGCTGTACACAACAGTGCTGAGGTGGGCAGTGCCCAGCAGCCGGTGGTGGTATATCTAAATGTACAGCTAGAGAAATATCCCAGGAGGGGAGCTGGTGAACGTACAAACACTACCTCGGTGAGTCTGATGAGGATACAACAGACCAGCAAGCTGTGCATGGCCTGATGTTAAACTTGGTTTTTTAAAGTTTTAGTTGGAAGGTCTTGAAAGGATATCAGTTATTACAGATGAGAAAGCATTGGTTTGGTGAAGCTTATATATAATGTCTAATACATTATGAAGCTGTAGAAAGGGATGTGGCCAGACACTTCACTACTATTCCTTCTTTAGCAAGAGAAAGAACTCTTGCAAATTCATCATGGATGGTGTTTTGGTCTCTCTGTCCATGCCTGCTCTCAACTTGGCCCTGCCATGCAATGCAAAGTAACTGCCAGGTGCCAGAATAAAAGAGTAAATGCAGTTCAGCCTGTGTGGATTTTATGTATATGTGACAAAAATATAAACTTGATCTTCATTTACACTAGGGATTTTTTACATCTCACATGTAACAGGTTTTTCCCCACCACTGAGGTCTTTGTTGGCAGAAGCTGGTAGAAACCTGGGAGTAATCCAGCTATATGCACACAAATAACAATAAGCATTAAAAAAATTAAAAAATTCTCTAATTAGAGAACTTGTATCTTGTTATTTTAATCTAATTCTAGTTCTCTTTTAGTGTGTTGACTATTCCCTATAGCAAGCTTGCCACTAAACACTTGAAAATGTCGGAGACTGTTTCCAAACTCAGATGCACAAAGAGTATTGCCAAGTACCTAGAAAAATCTCCCGCTGTATTTATGCCCCTGTGCATAGGAGCAAATATAAAGAGACCTTAGGTTGCATTGCTGATGTCTTCCTGCAGTGCTGTGCAGCCATGAAATATGTGTATATACCTTCATGACATCTCCTGGGGTTAAGAGTTTGTCTCTGGGGATGGGTGAGCCTGACTGAATATGATATCCAGCAACTTTGCAAAGTTGTCATTATTGTTGTTTCCTACACCTCATTCCCTCTATAGGCCGTTCTATAGAGGGAATGAGGTATATGAAATAACAATGAATTTGCTTTCCCCCTGCCCAGAACTCGTGTTGTTCCTAGGAGGTAAGGATTTCACCAGTATTGCGCGTTGTGGGATGTCTTAGCAATGAGAGACAAATATTTGTCCCCCTGCCAAAGAGAAAGCTGATTAAAAAAAAGAAAAGAGCTTTTTATGTAAATATCACCCAATTATATATTGCTCAGCAGTTATGTGTTGACCTTTATAAACCGAAATGGAAAAAAAATTCCTTTTAATCCCCAAGCATCAAGTTGTTTCATGTATTATTTTTGCATACAAAAATTTATAATTTTGGCATACAAAAATTTGAAATAAGACAAATTTCGGTTATATTATTTAAAATATCTAGAGTG